AATTTACCAGCCCAAAATGGTGGAACACCACATAACAAGATATAGAGAATCACCCCAGCACTCCAAACATCAACTTCAGGCCCATAATTTCTCTTCAAAACCTCTGGTGCCATATAGTATGGACTCCCCACAATCTCTGAGAACTTTTCACCTGCAGAATCAACAATTATAGTAAGAAAATCTCCATATAATTGTTCAACACACTAATCTTAATCTCCATATAATTGATCAGCACACTAATCTTCTTTTTCGCAGTAAAGAACCTAGCTAAACATAAATTTAAAGCAAAAAGTATTTTGAAGCTCCATTAACAGAAAATCCGAAATGAGAACGAAAAAAAATTGGTAAAATCTGAAACCCAATTCTCATAATCCCATTAAAACCCCTAAATCGACACCTACCAGGCTTGAAAAACACCGACAACCCAAAATCGATGACCTTGAGCGGCGAATTCTCCTTCTTATTCGCGAAGAGGAAGTTTTCCGGCTTCAGATCCCTGTGCACAACCCCGTGCTGGTGGCACATCCTCACCACCTCCGCAATCGTCCTCGCCACACCCGCCGCCGCTCGCTCGCTGTAGTGCCCACGCGCCACTATCCTGTCGAACAGCTCCCCGCCCTCGCAGAGCTCCATCACCAGGTGCACCGCCTCCTCGTCCTCGTACGTGGCCCGCAGCCTCACGATGTTGGCGTGCTCCGGCAGGCTCGACAGGATCGCCACCTCGCGCCGGACGTCCTCGATGTCCACCGCCGTCCGGAGCTTCTTCTTCGAGATCGACTTGCACGCGAGGGCCTCGCGTGTCTCCCGGTCGGTGCAGAGGTAGGTGACCCCGAACTCGCCGCGGCCGAGCTCGCGGCCGAGCGTGTACTTGTCAGAGATCCTGGCCTGGGGGGCGAGGTCCTTGAGCACGCGGTTCGCGGCGAGGGACTGGGCGAAGGGGTTGGGGCGGCGGTCGCGGGGTTTTTTGCGGGGTTTGGGGATTGTTTCGGATTTGGGGGTCAGGGGCTCCGGCTCCAAAGGCCTCATGCACGCGTTGCAATTCCCCATGAGGTGGGGTTTAATTGGGAGCTTTTTCTTGAGAAACTGGCTGCGCCGCCGTCTGTGGCGGTGATCGGCGGTGGCGTAGGTGGAGGAGGAAGATGGTGTGGTTGTAGCTAGTCTAACACGCACAGAGAGAGAGAGAGAGAGAGAGAGAGAGAGTCTTGAGCTATAGGAAAGAGTAGAAAACGCGGGGTCAGCTAGAGGAATATTTCGGTGTTTGAAAATTGGAGAAAAGAAAAAAATACAAATTTCATGGGAAGCGAACTTTTTGTTATTTTTTTTAAGCGAACTTAACCACAATATTGTTCTTGTCGTTGAAAAAAAAAAAAATTAACCACAATACCAAATAAATATTGTTCATTTTATTTTTTATAATATATATGTTGAATAATGTTATTATCTAGGTTATGTTTTGTAGACAAATAAGTTAACTTATACTTTATTTAGTTAGCCTATAACGTTCCTGTATTTAAATAAGCTTCATTTGGTAATACGAATTTATTTAAAAAAACTCGAGCTTATCTTATAAGTTTATTTGAGTAGCTTTTCAAATAAGTTGATTGAAATTTTTATTTCAGCTAGCTTATCCACTAATTTTACCAAACACGTTTATCATATAAATTAATTTTTCAGTCATAAGTCATAACTAGCTTATAAGATATTTAGTAAAATTTTTCAGTCATAAGTCATAACTAGCTTATAAGATAGTTTTATTAAAGATAGCGTAAGGTTAGACCTCTCAAATAATAATTTTATTAAAAAAAATATCTTATCATGGAACATTAAAGTGAGGAAGTAATTTTGGTCTTCTTCTGTGTATAGTTTTTCACTTTTGTCACGATAATTGACTTTATCCAAGAAAATTCTTACTTCAGAATCATGATAGAGATTTTTTCCAATGATTAAAAATATATATTAATTATGTATTATCATAAATTGAATAATAATAATGATAAGAAAAAATAATATTGAACCATTCTATGTGTATTTATAAACTATTCAACTATTCAATTTCATGTCCAATTGTATTTGATTTATTTAAATAATTGAAATGTATACAATCCCGAATTCATTAATATTTATAAACACATAAATATATTTATATATTAATATTTGAATATATAAATATCTTAAATACAAATCATATAATATAATTATGCATATTTACATAGAATAGACTTTTACATTCTATATAATATATTTTTATATAATATTATTAACAAATTGAATATTCGATAAATTCTTTCAAATTGAATGTGTGTGTAATTTGATTCAATACTCTTTAAATTTTATATAATTCTCAAATATAAAATATTATCACGGATCAAATCAAAAAAATTCGATTATCACTACAATAAAATGATGAAATTTGAACGAAAAGATCCAACATAAAAGATATTGTAATGGAATCCTGACGGCCTTTATGATGTGGGATACCACACCAAGATGAATACGACCTACGGAGTGGTTCAACAGGACCGGACGGGCCGGTAAGTCAATTAGATAGCAAATGCACCAAATGTCGAATGATCACCAGTTCGATGGTGACCTCGCGGATAAGGGAGCTCACCAGCACATTGAGCTAGAGTTCTTGACTAGCCTCATAGATACTCTATCTAGAGGCAAGCAGGTCATTGGCACGACTTGAAGGACAAAGTCTGTACCTGGGAGCTCGGAGCAACCTGGGTTGCAGGATGTTGAGTTGGTCGCACAATTATACCTTCTGATAAGATAGGCCAATGTGAACACATTACTTGAGAGATAAAAATTATATGATTAATTATATAAGAACTACGCGTGGATGAGATCACGTGGCCAAACAAAATCGGGCACACAGACAGTACGAACGGGTAACTCGAGAAATCAGGTGGCCTAGTCGAGCAGTTTTGAGCAACAAATTAACATCCCTATACAAAATGGTGGTGTATGTCAATTTACGCTCTACACACTCTTATATACATATGCAGTTACTGTTGATCGTATTCGTTATCTACATACTGACTTGATCGTCGGAGTCTCTACGTCCGGACACCTCCCGACGCTGTTTTGCAGGTCCATTGAACCAGTCAAGAGCGGATCCAGGTCTTTGGAGTCCGATCGAGGTCGTTTTACACACCAAATTCCAATGGATATATATTCATATTCTATTATTTCCATTGGAAACTTCTAATGAATTTCAACAGAAATAAATGAGTCATCCATTGAAAGTTTCGTTGTATTTTGATGATTTCAACGGTAGATTATTCAATGGTTGATATATAGGTGGAAATAAAAATTTCAACGTATATTGCATATTCTAACAGAAAAAAATATTGAAAAAATAGTCGTTTGAATCATGAAATTCCATCTAAAATTCTAATAAAATATTAATTCTAACGAAATTTTTTCGTTTCAATCATTCCAACATTCAAACGAAAGTTATGTTATTAGAATATCCGTTGAAATTTCTCTTGAAATATATTACCTTAGTATTTTTCGTTGGAATATAACAATTTTTTTGTAGTATATGTTACAATCTAATTTTGAGTAAAATATTCGAAACTATAACAAAATAAATATTTTATTATTTTTACGTCACTATTTTTACTAATTATATTTTCATTTTGTATACATTTATAATATAAATAAATATTTTAGTAAACAACTTTTTTTCATTATTTCATCTTCAATATGCAAAAGAAGCAACTCTTTTAAAAAGAAAAGCTATATCAAATTAACCTTACTACCTTTTTTGAAAATCGAAAAGTTATAGTGTCAATTGTCAAATGTCTTTTTATAGTAGGCCTATTAAATATTTGTGCTACATACATACAAGCATATACATGTATATGTATACACCGTTTGTTGGATTTTAATAGGTCTTTTTGTGGATGATAAATTGAAAACAAAAAAATTGTTGTGGGCATTAATGGTATTCTGTTGGGTGGGGGAAGGGAAGGTTTGGGTTAATTAATTAGATAGATGGCCTAACTCAAGTTGTTATCAATGTGTGGTTGGCAATGTCAATCGTAGCTTTGACTTTTGCGTAGTTCATTTTCCATTAATTGATTTTATTTGTTTTTTCTTAATATATATATATATATATATATATATATATATTTTGTGTAATTTTTACATTTTAATCCACAGTGGCCAATTACCTACACGGGCTCTTAAGCTCGACTTATTAACATTACCATTACTCAAAGTTTATTCACTTTAATTAAATTAATTTAAAAATGTATTAATGCTAAGATAAATTTTAATTTAGATTGGGCTTAATAACAATTTTCATTAATTAATATATACATAATTAGAGATATAGAAAAGTCAATTATTTATCCACTCTAAAATTGATTGAGTTAGCCTCGGATATAGCCCTACTCCGCCTATGTGCCTATACCCTTAACCCAATCCATAACGAGTTGAACCTAGACTTAACAAGTTATAAAATTATATAAAAATTATTTTGTGCCTTATCGAGTAAATTTGCGAACAGCTTATATTGTAAATATTTTTTCGAATTAGAATCGAAAGATTTGAACACCGGGTCGTGTCTTTTGAGGAAGGTCAGCCGGATTACTTTGCACGTTTATTCAAACACAAATAAAAGGAATAAGATTCCTAAACATTCTAAATCAAATATTGATTTTGGTTTAATTATCAACTACTGCGAAAATTCAAATTAAGCAATAATAAAAAGAATAGCAAGTAACGAAGGACAATTAGGATTTGAGAAGCTAGTGAGTCGGGGAGATCCGTTTTGGTTCGAATTGCAATTAATGGGCAAGTGATTGTTCAGCTAAATGATTTGAATAATCGACACGTTCAAGTATTCATTCTCAATAACTTTTCGTAACAAGAGAACAAACTAGAACGGAAAATTAACAATTCATTTCGCTCCTAGACAATACAGTTACGAACAAGCCTAGTTCATACGAGCTTATTTCGACCGACTCCTCACCTTTCGGTTCTAATAGTCGATTAAAGTAGACTAGAGGGTGGTTAACCGTCTAATCAAATAGACTCACCAATTTCAAGCACGAACAAATCAAATTCAATTGAAACAATTGTAAGTTGAAGTGTCACCCTTCAACAATTATCAATACTCAAGCATGACAGTTGAAAAACCCTAATAAAAGATTAACTCGCACAAATTGAACAATCTTGAGCCCGACAATCACAAACGATTCCAAAACATCAATCCCCTATCCCTAGCATACGGAATTTGCTACTCATCATAGATTCAACAATAAAATACACATCAATCAAAGCCATCATCATCATAGATAAAATGGAAAAGAAAGCTTACGATTGAATACGAATCCAATGTCGAAAAAACAACGAGTAATCCAAATCTACAAGTCGAATCTTGGAGTTTTCACTATCCAAGATCGAATCCCAATGAAAATTAAGAGAAAGATGAGTTTCAAAGGTGAAAAAAACGAAATACAAGTGTTCAAAATGATTAACATTTGCCCTAGGTTTGATATTAAAAGCTCCTCCAATTCAAAATCCGAAAAAAATCGCGTCTGCTTAAAAAAGACCTTAGCGGCGCTAAGGTGCCTTAGCCATTTGAGCCAGTACCGTGTAGCGCCGCTATCCTGTGTGCCTTAGCGGCGCTAAGGCTCTGGCAGCCTGCTGGACTTTACTTCTCGGGTCCGTTTGGGTTCGTTTCAACTCGGAATTTGATTCCGCTTTTTCCTGTGTGTTTCCAACGAGCTCCTCTATTTAATTAAGCTTGCCCGACTAACTTTCACCTGAAATCCAGTCCTCCTGAGGCTTCCGACCTACACACCATAAATAAAGAAAAACCGGAAAAATACACGGAAAACACACGAAAGACTAAAATAGAGCGAACCACGAAATAAACTACAAAACGAACTAAAAACCAACTAAAAGACCTAATATGGGGGAAAAAGAAAAGAAAAATAATGAAGAAAAACACAACAAAAGTGGGACAAACAGCTTATAAAATTATATAAAAAAAAATTTGTGCCTTATCGAGTAAATTTACGAACGACTCGTTTCGTTTAACGATTCAAGTTGGGCTTTATGGCTTGAACTTTAAACATTATAATTTTAAATTGTATTAATTAATCGGTTGAGGCAATGACTTAACTAGCTTTAATTTAGGAATATCGATTCAATCGTGGTTAATTACCTCTATTTGAAGATAACCCTAAATTACAAAATTGAACTAATAAATTTAAATTTTTAAAAAATATGTATACTATTTTTCTTATACATATACGTAAAGATAAGAAAAAAAAATATACATAAATTTATACCTCAAAATCTTAATAATTTTTTTTATTAATAAAATTACATATTTTGTTCCATGTGATGGCTCGAGATATCACACAATTAGTCCAAGTCTCGACCCATCGCATTGTAAATCGGTCTGCATAACCAAGTCAATCCAAGTTCAAGTCGGATATTTTTTTTCCAACTCTCACTCTCCGAGAGGCGAGAGTAGTACGTACACTGTAGTTTTATCTATTCAAAAATACATCTTTTGAATTTGAAAATAATTGAAATCTCTATTATATTTATATGCATCTATTTCATTCAAATATATAACTACTTTATGTCATTTGTTATTATATTTGGTAAAATAACCTGCCATTGCCAATGGATCAAGGTTTGAATAGTTAATAAGAGTCGATATATAAATTGGAAGTCATGTAACCGATTTTCCAGACAGCTATTTTAGAAATTTTGTCACCTCAAGTAAATATTATATCTCCACCTTGATTTGAGCTTTTTAAAGCTGGTCCTAACTCCTAATTGACCAAGACATCTATGCATAAAGAAGTGTGAAACATTGACCAATTCGTGCTAATACTTATAATTTGGCTGATTTTTTCAAATACCAGCGTGGTATAATTTTCCGTGTTCAATCTTATCGTGTGACTAAATTTGAAAATGGTACGTATAAATATATTCTGGTTCCTTCAAATTCTAAAAGGAGGGAAAATTTGAGTAAATTACAGTTTTGGTCAAATTCCACGGCTTACAAATACCATGTCATTTTGCATATGGTGATTTCGTGATTCGAAACCTATTACCATTGTTAAACAAATTTTGTATGATTTGTCAAATGCATGAAAGTATATATAACTATACATATTGTTATTTTGTATTTTTTACTTGTTATAACCCTATTAAATGGAAAATGTATCTATTTACAAAATAAAGCAATTTTGAAAGCAATGAAATAAAGCATGACATAAAGTTTATATATTTTATGCGTGTTACAATTAATGCGAATTAAATATAGTTTATTAGTTTGTGTGTAATTAAGAATGAACTTTATTAATAGTTTTAAAAATGATCCATGCAATATAAAATTTAATAACATTGATTTCATTTTGTAGCCAAAGGGTTCAGTCTGTGTGTAACTAAGAATGAACTTATTAATAGTTTTAAAAATGATCCATGCAATATAGAATCTAATAACATTGATTTCATTTTGTAGCCAAAGGGTTCAGTCAAGTACCAGATTTGGACTTTACAGAAACTTTTAGTCCTGTGGTGAAACCAGCAACCATAAGGACAATTCTCTCCATTGCTGTTACAAAATCATGGCAAATCAGACAAGTGGATGTAGATAATGCATTCCTTTGTGGAGAGTTGGACACAGACATTTATATGATCCAGCCACCTGGATATGAACAAGGAGAGAATTGGGTAAAAACCACGGGACTCGTAGGCCGCTTAAATCATCCACTATATTAATCCGATAATGGGTACAACCGAAATCCTCTCTAGATCACCAGACTAGAGGCAAACAACAATTCTCAAGATCACAACACAAGATCTTGGCTAACCACAAGATACAAATCAACAAAAACACAAACTCTGCTCCTTCACATCACACACAAAACAGACTGCCCAGACGTGCTCAAAATCCGATCTCCACCGTTCAAAACAAAGAGTAAGAAGTCCTGAACCTGCTGTCAAAGTTTGGTGACGATCCAACGGTGCAATCGCCGGGAATCGGCAATTTTTTGGGACTGCGCAGTATAATTGCGGGAATGAATGAGGAAAATTGTTTGAGCTTGTTTCTGTCTATTTTTCTTTGTGTCCGCAATGAACCTAGGTAGGTTACAAAAGCAGAATCTTTTTTTTTTTTTTTTTCTTTTTCTTTCTTTTTTTTCTTTTTCTTTTATGAAAAGATAATGGGCCTTAGGCCCTTATTTAGTCTAAGCTCACCATAATTGGGCCGGACTCAACATTCATGACTTAATAGAAGTAAACAAGTATAGTATTAACATAAAAAACTTCAAGTTGCATCTATAGTAGGCGATAACCTCGTATTCGACAATAACTTGTTCGTGAAATAATTGCGTCGAGTTCGAACTGAAATTATGCTCGTTTAATAGTTGAACAATCACGAGCTCGTTCATAAACATTCGCTAATTTTTGTGAACATTCTTGAATATATTATTATATTTTTATATTTATATGTATGACATTTTTAATAAAAATCTAAACAATAGTTTATTTTATTTTATTTTCAAGCACGAACAAACAAATCTCGAGTTAGTTAAACAATTTTAAAAAATTTGTTTACTTAATTATTCAAACACAAATAAACTCAAACTTTGACGAAAAACTAGAAAAACAAGCCTATAAATCAAATTTGACTCGAAAAATAAACGCACGAAAAATAACAATATTCGAAAATATCAATCACAGGCCAAAATGCTCAATCTTGGTTCCTTGTGGTTTTATACAATATTTCCCACGTTACTTTGAAGGCCAATATAATGTAACATGGCCCATATAATGAAAATGGATGGAGAAGATGGGCCGCAGTCTTCTGGTAACCCAAAAACTACGGCCCGTTAATCACTGATTCTTCTCTTTAGCACGTTGGCAGTAATTCAATACTGTCCCAAGAATTGTTCTAAGAATATTCTTCGCATTATTAACTTCTACGCTTAAAAAAGTCTTCTAATACTGGAAGAAACAAAAGAAAAGGAAAAAAAAACGTCTATCACCTTATTGCCATGTTTATTAGAAAATTAAGGTAAAATTATAGGTGTTGGATGTTAAGTTGTCCGATTCTCTAAGTACTTTTTTTTTTTCGGTGCAGATTCTCTAATTACTTTGTTTGATTAATATAGTTTTTATTAGGTTTTTGAGTTTAATACACCTATTTACAAAAGAAAAACTAGACACGGTAATATTTTGAGCAAACAAGATTTTATGTGTGTGTTCAAATTATCCTAAAATTCACACAAGAGCACTCACATTAGAGCTCTAATATAGGAATACAAGCTCTTTTAATTTGTTTTATATTCAGTAATTATTCTATTGATTATTAGTGATTAGATAATCACCCACTTTCCAATATATATATATATAATATAATATATAATATATTTTTTTTTCATAGGAAAATATCAATGTTGAACAATAACATCTATGTTTTATATTTTGCGCTATGATATCTATGCTCATAAAAAAAAATGTTAGAAATTAAATCCCACCACTAATATAATACTTGTAGGTTATAGAATGTTGAATTGAAAAGTCAAACATGACATATTAGATAAACAAACAAATAAAATACGTAAAACGGAATTAAAATTTGCAGTTTTGACAATCATACTTTCTCAATAAATTTACATATTTTTCACTAAAATATTCCAATCTTAAACATCTTACAAAATAGTATATTATTATTTTATAACATTAATATAAATCTTTACTAGTAATATACCACTATTAACAATTAAACAGATTACAAAATTTGTATAAAATTGCCATATTAACCCCATATATCTTGATCCAAATAATCTCACCTACCCACCCTAATAACCCCCATTTTTTTTTTTGTTTTTTGTTTTATTTTTCTCTTACATCAAAAATCCTTTCCACTTCCCCTCAACCCCCTTTCCCTTCCCAAACACTCCAAAAACTACACTGCAATTTTTCTCACATTTCCCCAACCCTCTGGTTAGGTGCTCTCTCTCTCCATATATACTTACATAAATACACACACGCAGGCGCATTTATATTGTTATAATTCCTTGTATGTACACTTCTGTATTTCCGCCTCAAGCTCCGATCGGTTTCCTCCCGGGATTGCTCAGTAAGTCTCTCTCCGCCGGCGTTTCTGTATCGAGATTGACACGGCCGGTGGTGGCATACAGGGCCGATAGGCGCCTTGTCGAATGAATTTAGCTTTTATGCATGCAATTAAGTAGCCATCGGGGAAATCTGATATGGGGCCCAAGAAGCGGAACATCGCTCCTCGCTCCAAGCCGTCGCAGCCGCCACCCATAGCGGGGGCGGCTTCGGAGGATGCGGCCACCGCCGCCGACGGTGGCGCTTCCAACCCTGACCAAACCCCAAACCCTTCCTCCGCCAGAAAACCCGCAAAATCGGATGCAGGTGATTCGGATGGCTACACATACAGCAACGGAAGCCCTTCCTCTGCATATGCTGCGGTGAAGACTGAATGCGAGCGTGCGCTGAATGCTATGCGAAAGGGGAACCACACAAAAGCCCTGAGACTGATGAAGGATTTGTGCTCAAAGCATGATAATTCGCCTCACCTGGCTCTGATTCACCGTGTCCAGGGCACCGTATGCGTGAAGATGGCCTCGATAATCGATGACCCCAATGCGAAACAGAGACATTTGCGGAATGCTGTGGAGAGTGCCCGTAAGGCTGCCAGCCTGTCCCCAAATTCCATTGAGTTTGCACACTTTTATGCCAATCTCTTGTATGAAGCTGCGAACGAGGGGAAGGAGTATGAGGAGGTGGTGCAGGAGTGTGAGAGGGCTTTGGCGATCGAGAACCCTGTGGACCCTGCCAAGGAGAGCTTGCAAGAGGAGAATCAGCAGAAGATCTCAACAGCCGAAGCTCGAGTGGCCCACGTTCAGAGTGAGCTCAGGTCGTTGATTCAGAAGTCGAATATCGCCTCCCTCTCGACTTGGATGAAGAATCTGGGCAATGGGGAAGAGAAGTTCCGGTTGATTCCTATCAGGAGAGTCCCTGAGGACCCGATGGAGTTGAGATTAGTTCAGACGAGGAGGCCGAACGAGATTAAGAAAGTGGCCAAGACGCCCGAGGAGCGGAGGAAGGAAATTGAGGTTAGGGTGGCTGCTGCTCGTCTTCTACAGCAGAAATCGGAGTCCCCTCATTTGGCGAATGATGAGGATAGTGGTAATAGCAATACCAAAGGGCCAGATTCTGGCACGGGGTCGGGCCAGAGATCTGGAGAAAGAAGGAAGTATGGGAATGCAAGGAAAAACGCATCATCGGATGAGAGGAAGGATTGGGTTCGGTCGTATTGGAACTCTGTGGGTGCAGACGTGAAGAAAGATTTGCTCAAAATTAGTATATCGGATCTGAAAAGTCATTTTAGTTCATTGAAGGATGGATTGTCAACTAGTGGGGTTCTTTGCGAGGCTTTATCTTTTGGGGAGACGCACAAAGTGTGGAAATTTTGGTTGTGCTGTCGTTGCAATGAGAAATTTGCTGATGCTACTTCATTCATGCATCACGTTGGGCAGGAACATATGGGCAGCTTGCTGCCCAAAATGCAGTCCATTCTGCCCCAAAGCGTGGAGAGTGAATGGGCTGAGATGCTTCTAAACTGTTCTTGGAGACCTCTAGACCTGAATGAAGCAATTAAGTTGGTTGGGAGAAGGCAGAAATCATTTGAATCCGATTTCCTCGAGGAATCCAGAAACGGCATGGACGATTCAAAAGATTGCTTTCTTGACTCTTATTGCAATGAATATGAATGGGAATTATCACCTAAGAAGAACCAACAGGTTGATAATTTTGGCAGTAGTGCCCAGAACAGCAGGGAGTTTGAAGGGGCCGAGTGGATGGACTGTGATAGAAATCTCAGCAGTAAAGAAAATTTATTAAATGGAAATTGGCCTTTATCTGATGACCCTGAGCGTGCTAAGCTTCTAGACAGAATCCATGGTGTTTTCCAGACACTTATTAAAAACAAATATTTGGCGGCAAGTCACCTTAGCAAGGTTATACATTTTGCAGTGGAGGAGCTGCAGAGTCTTGCATGTGGTTCACAACTGCTCAACTCCAAACTGGAAGAATCACCTACCTGCATCTGTTTCTTGGGTGCCACAGAGCTTAAGAAAATCCTGAACTTTTTACAGGAAATATCTAATGCTTGTGGATTAAATAGATATCATGATAAAAGTAATTCTGGAGCTGATTCAAATACCAGGGCACACGGTATTGACTTCTTGGAGAAGATAGTTTTTAGTCAAGATGATTCATGTTTGGTCCTTGATGAGCATTTTCTCCCCTGCAAGGCCCCTCTATCTTTTGACGACACCATTACTTCGTACAGTGCGGCAACTTCGTCTGATTTGCTCTATGAGAATGGTGTTATACTTGATTCGGATGCATTATTGTCTTGGATATTTAAGGGCCTCTCGAGTGGTGAGCAATTAACATCCTGGATGAGGAAGAAAGAGGAGAAAGCTCAGCAGGGCTTAGAGATTCTCCAGTTGCTTGAGAAGGAGTCTTACCATCTGCAGGGCTTATGTGAGAGAAAATGTGAGCACATGAGTTATGAGGAGGCATTGCAGGCTGTGGAGGATCTCTGTTTGGAAGAGGGAAAGAGACGAGAACTTGCAACAATTTTGGTCCGTCGCAGTTATGATTCTGTGCTCAAAAAAAGACGTGAAGAGCTCATCGAAAATGACAATGAGATTACCATTACCAGCAATAGATTTGAGTTGGATGCCATTACAAATGTTTTGAAGGATGCAGAATCGCTAAATGCTAATCAATTTGGGTTTGAGGAAACATACAATGGCGTTACCTCTCATCTTTGCGACCTAGAATCTGGTGAGTATGATGATTGGAGAGCAAAAGACTGTATGCAGCAGGTGGACTCTTGCATAGAAGTTGCAATACAGAGGCAGAAAGAGCAAGTTTCTAGTGAGGTTTGGCGATATAATTCTAAAGTTTAATATTCTAATATTACTTTTTGTGTCTTGCATCTTCATCTTACGTTTTTAATGATGTTTCAGATAAGCAAAATGGATGCAAGAATCATGCGGATACTTGGGGCTATGCAGCAGTTAGAAGCAGATCTTGAGCCTGCATCTTCCCTTGATTTTAGAACCATTCTAATCCCTCTAGTAAAATCATTTTTACGGGTGAGTATTTCATGAAGGTGAAACACCTTCTTACTAAAGGTCCTCAACTTTCCTATTGCATTTTGCAGATATGATTGGGACTTGATATTCAATCTTTTTATAGGCACGCATGGAAGATCTGGCAGAGAAAGATGCCAGAGAAAAATCTGATGCTGCCAGGGAGGCATTTTTGGCAGAGCTTGCTCGGGATTCCAAGAAAGGCAACAGTAGCGGAATTGATAATTCAAAACATTCTCACGAGAAGACAAAGGATAAGAAGAAAAACAGGGAGAGCCGGAAAAACAAGGATGCAAAGGTTTAACCTTGTAATCAGTCTCAGTAATTTTTATATTCAAATTATAGATGCTGGACATTAGTTTAATTATTCTCAATAAAAAATGATTTGAAATATTTAAATTTGAATGAGGATACGTGCTTTGATCGAGCACGTGATCCATATAGCCGACCCCACTTACTGGGATTTTATGGGCTAGTTGATTGATTGATTGCTTGAACCGTGACTTTTGCTCCTTTCTCTCTCTCTCTCTCTCGTCTCTTTTTTCGATCTCTTCCTTTTGGTTCGAGTCTTTTTGTGTTTCTCTTTGGTTTCATCTCTAGCCTACCCCGACTTGCTTGGGACTAAAGGCTATGTTGTTGTTGTTGTTGTTGTTGTTGATTATTGATTGATTGCTTGAATGGTTGTGTTGTATCTGCAGGCCACTCAGTCTGACGAGCCACCCAATCAAACTTCTGAAGAGATGTATAAACCTTGTTCCCTCATAACACACGTTCATGTTCATCCTTCTGATTCATTTTTTCCCCTCTATACGTCACTTTGAACTTGTTGCTTCTTATTATGTATCTTGCTCCAGATTGTTTCCTAGTGGTTATGACGAGGAGGATCTGGTTCCAGAATTTGCTCATCATGGGCTTGATGATGCTTTACGGCTACAGGAAGAGGAGTACAAACGTAAAATTGAACTTGAAGCTGAGGAAAGGAAGCTTGAAGAAACTTTGGAATATCAAAGACGAATAGAAAATGAGGCAAAACAGAAGCATCTTGCTGAACAACATAAGAAAAGTTCAAGAGCTGCTGAAGTAAATACAGAACCAATTGTGGTGTCTGATGAACATTTGCAGCCATACACTGATGACAAGTATGTGAATGACCAATCAGCAAACGCGAAGGTATAACTTTCCATAATCCTTTTTATATATTTAGTGTTACCTTGAAAGAACAGCTTGCTTTCGAACTTCGAAGGTAATCTGTTTTGTTTCAGGCTTTCAGGAATGGAGTTGATATTATTTGTCTAAAGTCTTAAAAATATTACTATCTATAGGATTCTTTGGTCCAGAAGGACGTGTTTATTGATGTTTCAGAAGGTCCACTGGATAGATCTGCAAATGGGGCTATGACACGAAGTGGTATCCACCTTTCTTGATATCACAGAAATTTCCTTTTCTAGTTTCTCAGTTATATAAATATATAAAGAAACAACTTAGTCGAATTGAATACGAATCAGAGATTAAATTCAATAACGAATCAAATACAAGTAAAAATAGTTGAATATAAATTATAAAATTCCTTTTACAGGCTTACCAAATGGAGGTATTCCACAAGAAGGGGCTGTATTTTCGGATCGGCGCATGGGAAGGAGGGGTAGACGGCATAAGGGTCTAACAAGTAAATTAAGTGATGGGAAAGTTCCTACCGCGACATCTGAAAAGGAAGATAGCGATGCTGGTCAGTTGAGGTCTGGGCAAATTTCACATGATGATGTTGGTACGTATTTGGATGTTTGGTCAACCTAGTTATTTTTTTTTGTTTGGTCAACCTTGTTTGGTTTTTGTCCATTGCCAATGGAGCTGGAAGAGTCATTGTTGACAATTCTCCTGGCATAGTGCTAATATGGACTAGATCAAAAGGGCTCAATTAAATTCTAGTGCTTCTTCTATTAGTGAAGTTTCTAGAAAAAAAAAATATATCAAACGGCGCAATGCACCTTGGGTCGCTACGGAAACAGCCTCCTTGTATAATTACAAGGGTAAGGTCTGCGTACAACTGACCCCCTAGACCCCAACCTGTTGGGAATGTACTGGGTATGTTGTTGTTGTTATAATTATACGATTTTGGGATGTCACAGATCTGCTGCATGAGATATCTTATTATACTTGAGTTCTGTAATCTGATTGCATTTATTGCCTAATGTTGCTCATCTATTGGTTGTTAAGTCGGATTATGTCCAGATTTTACTTTTCTTTATTAGTTCGGGTTTGTAACATTTTGTCATTTATTGGGCTTTGACTAAAATGCTTCTCGGCCATTTTATCTGGGATTACGTGACAGCTGTGGAGGTTGGTAATTTTGTGAAAATTTAACTTTTGGAGGAAAGTTGTGACCTTATAATTAACAGATCTAACGTACATTTTACTGTGAAAAGTTGTACTGATTGTCCCTTCGGTAATTGACTTTTGATTTTTCGATTCTTAGCCTTTCTGGTTAGACATGGCTCTTATATAGTTCTGTTACCCTGTGGATTGGACCACGAAAGGACTTATCGCAAGGAGGCAGGGATTAGATTACTTTTTAAGAGGCAAAACTGTCTAAGCCATATGGTGGACGCTTATTGTTCCCTCACTGTGGATACACACACAGGAAAAAAAACTGAAAATCTTCAATATCGTTTGAATGGCTAAGTATGATAACAAGAAGATAGATGATTAGCATAAGTTGGCTTTCTGCTTCTTTTGAACTGACTAGCAGGGTGATGGGTTTGACAAACCACTTAGGAAGTTTATTGGGAACATCATATTCTGAAGGACTCCTAAATTGCAATGGTACATTGTCTGAGGTTTCTATTTTCAGTAGATTTGTTCTGCGCCATGTGCTTGGAATAAAATGGCCTGATGTTTTTTGGTTTTATGTTCTCCTTTGCATCCCCGTGCAGTTTGGGGCAGTAATTTGTTGCATAGTCAGAAATGCCTTCATATTCTTTCGGGCTTGGTCCCTTGGACTGCAATAAGGATCCACAGTAGTTTGAGTGGATGTTAGTTTGTTTCTTCACTTGTGATTTTAGTGATGCAGTAATTTGTTGATAATTTTGATTAACGTGATGTAATTATTTCTTGATAGTCTGTAATTCCAAGGAACTGTTTTTGGATAACTTACCATTAATCACAGACTTCTATTCAGCCCATAACTTGGTTTTATTTGAATATAATGGTTAATTTGCATAAAATAAAATGCACATATATATATATATGTGTGTGTGTGTGTGTGTTCTATTGTTCTATCTGATATTTGCATTAGAGGGTGAAGGATCCAAAACTAAGAGCGGGTCCTCCTGTTGTAGTTTTGATTGACTTTATAGTGCATATAAAATGAAACCTTGGTCTATACCAAGTAAATTACTTCTTTTAAATTTGAATAGAAAGAAAATTCTAAAAGAAAACCAACCCATATCTTTTTTCTCAGAAGAAGAAAATTTGGAAGAAAAGTTTGGAAAGTCAGGCGTGGAAATGGAAATATTTTCAAAATCAATAGTGGTTATGGTTGGTGCTGAAAATTTTTGAATGACTCATGGAAGAAATCCACCATTAGATGATGGAAAAATAAAAGATAAGAAATGCTGATGGTTGGTTGCTTGATGTCAAGATTTAAAAATCGATTGTAACTTGTTAAGCTTTGAATTCTATTCTTGTTGACACCGAATCATTTAGTTCCGTGCAACCTTCTCTGGCTGCTGTAAGGTTAAACATATATATGCCCCCGTTGAACATTCATTAGCGTACACATCTACCATTTAAACAGGGTTCAGTTCTGCCATTACTCACTTTGTATTGGTGCCTCTTCATTGGCTTTAACTTTATGCTTTTTTGTAGCTTGTTAAAATTGGAGCAGTTATTTAGTTTGATACTTTTGTCTTGTAGATAGTGGAGGAAAAACATTTAGACAACTCCAGGCTGAGGAGGACGATGAAGAAAGGTTTCAAGCTGATCTACAAAAAGCTGTACTGCAAAGTCTTGGTGTGTTTCGTTTTTTTTTCCCTTCTCTTTTGTTGTTTGTGATTCTTTGGTGAACCTATTCTCGAGTCTCGACTTGATTACCCTTGCATCAATTCAAGAGAACTGATACGAGGAAAAGAAGTTTATGGTTTGCTACAATTGAATGTACTCTTGGCTGCTTCTTAATTTACTGTTGAGTTATTTTCAGTGGAATTCTTATCCTCCTCTGCTGTTATATTACTTGCATCAGCGCATGAAGTTAAGAATGATGCACCTTATAGAGTCTCTGCATTTGTCCCCATTAATTCTTATACACCTTATTTTTTTCTCGGTTTGGTTATTGTTCTCACTGCAGCCTCCGTTCTGTTGAATTGTTTGTATGAAACTACTGAATGTGGTGGGTTTATGATATGACTACAAACTACTGGCAGATATAGGCTAACTTGCTAAAGGCTTTGGGGAGGTAGTATTTTCTGTGGGGGCCCTGAGATGAGTATCCTTTTAAGAAAAAAGGCTAATTCTAGCTCATGTTCAGTTTTATGCATACCTTAGTGGCTTAGTCTTTATTGTATTATATAGTTCTGGCATAGTTGCTTGATCTTTGAATTGTTGTAATGTTTGGATGTTGAAGGTTAGGCCAATGGAAGGGATTTTTACTTTGTTATATTCTGATCCCAATTTTAGTTTTTATGTGCTCTTCAGCAACAAAAATTTGTATTGTTAGTGTGGACTGAGTGGAAAAACTTGTCTGCTCTACTTCACGTTTTTCACTTATATCTCGAATACTTTTTTGGCCAGATACATTTCATTCACGTGGAAAATTGCCTGTAGTATCAAATTCAGCAGTTTCACAAAAGGAGCTTCCAGAAACCAGTGACCCTTGTGCTTCACGTGATGAAGGTGTGACAGATAATGGTGTGGATGATTATGGGGCAGGGCTAAAAAATGAAGTTGGTGAATATAATTGCTTTCTCAATGTCATAATACAGGTTAGTATGAGAAGTACCAAGTACAATATTCTCTATTGTCTTGCTGAATATTCCAATCACCCACAAAATTTCAATTTCAATGTACAATATTCATTTAGCCTGAGAACACTCGTTCATTTTTCATTTTCCTCCTCTGAATTCAGTCCTTGTGGCACCTAAAACGGTTCCGAGATGAATTTTTGCAAAGGTCATCATCGGAACATGTTCATGTTGGCGATCCTTGTGTTATTTGTGCTTTGTATGACATCTTCATCGCTCTGGGTATGATATCAAAAGATAATAGAAGAGAACCTGTTGCCCCAACCTCTCTTAGAGTTGCTTTAAGCAATTTGTACCCTGATAGTAATTTCTTCCAGGAGGTAAATCTCACTACTACTCTCTTTTTCTTTTTCTCTTTCTTTTTTCATTTTGAGTAGTTATTTATCTGTAATAAGATCTCAAAGAATTTACTGTGTACAAAAATTTGTGCAACCCTGTAGGGTCAGATGAATGATGCTTCTGAAGTGCTGGGAGTAATATTCAGTTGTCTTCATCGATCATTTACCCCTGCATCTGTAGTGACTGATACAAGATCAGTAGATAGTAGCTGCACGGGATCCTGGGACTGCAGAAATGCTTCTTGCATTGCACACTCAATTTTTGGAATGGATATATTTGAGAGAATGAACTGTTACAACTGTGGCTTGGAGTCCAGATACCTGAAATACACATCTTTCTTTCATAATATTAATGCCAGCGCTGTCAGAACAATGAAGGCATGCTTTCTTATCTTAAATTAGGGTATTGCAAAAACAGTTTAGAGCTTTAGGCTAACTACATCAAAACCAGTCATCTTTCAGAATTACAAATACCTCTTGACTATGTTTAAGCATTTACAAATTGAATCCCCCAGAGTAAGTAGATACAGATGTCAAGAGGGTGTGGCATTTCCCATTTTAGAAGATAACAGGAGTTTTTGTAATTAGGCCACATCCCGGGTTATTTTGTGTGTATTCCTTAATATTATCAATGATTACGGTATTGTGTTTGCAAGAGACCAGTTTCTAGAAGAATGAATGTGTTTGTGACCAATTAGTATCCTTGCAATTCCACTGTGTCTAATGAGTTACTTATTTCGCATTTTAGGTTATGTGCCCAGAAAGCTCCTTTGACGAGCTTTTGAATCTGGTTGAGATGAATCATCAATTAGCTTGTGATCCTGAGGTTGGCGGTTGTGGGAAGCTCAACTACATCCACCATATTCTCTCCTCCCCACCACATGTTTTCACAACAGGTGGTTTGTTAATTGCTATATGACTTCAGATTTTGTCGTCATCTCTCATTTTTTCTTTGTATCACCTTTTTTTTTTTTTCAAGTTCCTATCGTTGACTTGTAATTAACACTTGGCTCCTCTGTCCTGTTACTAATGAATATCTTTCCTGGATTCATGTAGTCTTGGGTTGGCAAAATACTTGCGAGAATGTTGATGATATAATGGAAACACTGGCAGCTTTGTCCACTGAGATTGATATCAGTGTCCTTTATCGTGGTCTTGATCCACAGAACAGGCATCGACTGGTTTCAATGGTATGCTTCTGTAGATTGCCTTCAACATGAAAGATTTTTGTTGTTTACATTAATACTTATAACCATTTATGGGAGTGGAAGATTGTTGTGGTACACCGTGTTTCTTTACTGTGTCCCTGTTGTCTAAAAGAGTCAAATGCAGAAACTTTGGAAGGAATTTTTTTAGCTAGTGGAAATTGGTGCCGTGCTTGAACACTGAAAAGCTAAAATCAGTTACCTTTGTGTGCTTGAATCTGATGATTTGTATATATCTTGGCTGCAAAGATATACAACAAAAACTCGCACTTTTTCTTTGAATGATCTCGGTTAAGTGGGGGCTTCGTGTTATGTGGCTCTGTTTGTATATAATTTAGACGCATGTTGCACTCTGATAGCAGAAAAGAAATGCTTCTTGAAATGAACTGTTGTTTTAAAAAAGTTTTTCAGTTGTCTTCCAGTTATGATATTCTCAGATTTTTTTTCTCTCATTTTAGGTTTGCTATTATGGGCAACACTATCACTGTTTCGCCTACAGTCGCGATCATGAACAGTGGATCATGTATGACGACAAAACTGTGAAGGTATTATGAGTAAATCTTATTTGGATTTTGTGTACAATAGTCTTAATTAACAATTACAATATCTATTTCCAAGGTTCAGTCAAATTGCAGAAACTCCAGCTGTACCTAGATATCCTCATATATTTTGTTCAATATAAACCCCGAAGAGGTGTTTGTAATTGCACATGGAGTTATTTGCAATTCGAGAGATAACAACATGAACTTTTTGTTATCAGCCTTAGCCTCAGAAAAAAATTGATATTTAACAAGTCATTCTTAAGCTTATATGTGATCTTTCTATCCTCACTAGGTAATTGGTGGCTGGAATGACGTTCTTACAATGTGTGAAAGAGGGCATTTGCAACCCCAGGTCCTCTTATTTGAAGCTGTAAATTAGTACTTACAGTGGAAATTCATGTGCTACTTACCAAGACATGGCACTGGCCGTACTCAACGTTTTATCAGACGATACAAACCAAAACTCCACATTTACTGGGCTTTTAAGATTAGCTCTCTGGACAAACTGCAATGTTAATACAACAGCCGGAAGTTTACTATAAAGTGAATCGATTTTGTTACAGCGAAGAGGAAAAATGGGATCAAATTATGTGAAGTAACGAGGATGAACTTTTTGACAAAATTATTGGGATATTGTGCTAATCAAGGTTTGGTGCTCGCGGTACCAATTATGATATATAATTATATCTTCTCATCCAGTTTTGGCCGAAGACAGTAGTAGTAAGAACTTGCTGGTTGATTATATCTATATATGGATACTTGCAATGTAGTATACCAGCTGCATTTTCTTGTACTTAGGTTCGTATTCTCTTATTGTTTAAAATACCAAGAAATGTATAGATCAGGTGTCAAGCATCAGATCCTTTTGTTACCCGTAGGTTACGGGAACTTTGTTAGGAGAATCTTTTTGTGTATGTCAATGTTGGTACAAAATTGCTGGGCTTAATTAATCATACACATTATGATAGATTGTTTTGCCTATTGATCTATTGATTCTCTTTTTGGCATTGGAAATGGTTGTTTTTATGTTTGTTAATAGACTATAATGGTTTCCTTTAGGCCCCATCTATTTTTTCTAGTATGGAGATTTAGCTCATTCCCATACACATACACTATGTAAATCTCAACTTTTTGCCCTTTTGTTATCTAATTATTTTGTTTAGTTTTTGTTGTTTGGGCTCAAATGTTAGAACTTCTGTTATCTTGGGACAAATTTGTTGCATCTCCCTTTTTCATTTTACTAATGTAACTCGGAAAGTTAACTGAAAACTGGGTGCGCTTTTCATTTGAATGAGAATTGAAGGTGATAAAACACATATTATTTTCCTTTCAAATTTTCTTCGAACAAAAGCCAGAAGATAAAACCCGATGAGCCCTAAGTATGCTGAAATAAATCAAATAAGTGAATTTAGGGGATATTGATTGAATAGTAATAACAAGTGTTATTATTATTATTATTTTTTTGACTGGGTAATAACAACTGTTGAAAAGCTACAAAGTACTGCTTTTGACCCTCACATATAAACTGTACGGACAGATTAACATTATTTAATTGGCCAGAACTTACATTCATCCGCTGAATTTGTCTTAAAAGCACAACAAACTAAATAAAACAATAAATAAATAAACCCAAACTATCAATCTAACACTTGACATATAGCAAGTACAATTGAGACCAAGCCAAGAACAATGGTGCCCCTTAAAAATAGCCCCCCTACAAAACAGGTCTTTGCTCAAGCAAACAACACTTGTCCCAACTTTCTTACACCCCCAAAACTTCCGGAACCTCTCCATTTTTACTCAGTCTTTCCACTCTCCCCCCATATACTTCATATATCAAATATAGCCATTTTGGTGGCCTCCTTTCTTCTTCCCCAACAATCCAAAACACACCAAAAAAATAAAAATTCTTGCTTCCAAAATCCCTTTAAACCACCACACCAATCTTTCCTCCCCCCACAACAAATGCATCCTCGAAAACAGAAGTCATTATGACACTCAAAAACGGCACCGGCCAAGCTTGCGCCGCCTGCAAGTACCAACGCCGGAGATGCACCCCAGAATGCCTCCTCGCCCCATTTTTCCCAGCCGACCAGCCGAAAATGTTTCAGTACGTTCATCGATTGTTCGGGGTCAAAAACATCCAGAACCTCCTCAAGGAGCTCAGCCCAGAGCAGAAGCCCATGGCCATGAAGTCCATTAAATTCCACGCTGCCATGCGGGACAAGTACCCTGTATACGGCTGTCTTGTCGAGATACAACAACTCACTTATCAAATCCAGATGGCCGAGGAAGAACTCCAAGCAGTTCTCCAACAACTCGCCTACTACAGACAGCAACAGCAACAACAACAACACCAGCAGCAGGAAATTTCTGCCACAACTGAATATCTCTCGGAGCTACAATTAGGCATGGCCCCGCCTGGCCCGAACACAGCAATGACACTGGTTCAAGACGAGAATAACAATAATAATAATATTAATAGTAATAATAGTAATGGTAACAATAACCCGGCCCAATACAATAATGTAGCGGACTTGCTGATTGGGCCGGGCCCACAAATCTCGTCGTATTCCAATAGTTGCAATGGCGATTACGGCATTGCTTATTTGGATTTCAAGGAGAGCAATGCAGTTGATTCGTTTTGTCACGAAACGTATAGTAATAATAATAGCAATGAGAATGTGATCAACGCGGATGCAATGGTCGTGCAAGCACAAATGGTCACTTCGCCACAGCTTATGAATGTCGAACAAGAAGCAATGGCTCATGATTATAACGAGATGCACCCGTTTTTCGATAATATCGATGATACGCAATCTTACATTGGTTGCAAGGATGCGTACGAGACGAGGTTTTTGGCCTTTTATTCAGTTTTGTTTGTTAATTGTTACGTATGCGTCTTTGTCGTGCTATCTAATTTGTTTTTACGGCGTGTCTTTTTTTTTTTTTGNTTTTTTTTTTGTGCAGCTTGGGTTCACCTTTGAAAGATTCAAGATCACAGCTGGCTGAGGAAATGGATGAGAATGAACTGAAAAGTGCAGCTGCATGTTTTAGCCTCACAAGTGTCAATTAAGGACATATTTTTTATGACCTAGAAAAGGAAAATGTGAGATTTATAGGTAGCATTTTTGCCTTCTTGGACAAAAAGTTTTGATGGAGAGAGTTTCTCAACCATGGATTTATCTTTCCATAGAAGAAAAAAAAAGGGAGAAAAATTATGTGTAGCTCATTTTTTCCATGCTCTTTGAAATTGATACTCATTTCAAAAGATTGTTCCAGAAAATACCAAATTTGGTATGATTATTACCTGTTGAGATTGATATACAAAATTCAAATCAGGAACATTGTTTTCCTGTCAACTATTGTAATTGAGATTGAACTATATTGCTCTGTTCTTGTTAAATTACCATGAAGAGAGAAATAAAGGGATGAAAGAAGAAAAAAAAAGGGATTATTTGGATATTTACTTTTATTTCTGTACTTATTTTTCAATTTCATTCCCCTTTCTAGAAGTAGATTCATCCAATTTTTTTGTTGTATATTGGTTGAAGTTGATCTACAAATATTATTGAGATATCAATGAAATCCTACACTCATGTATTACATAGCAAACTAAAAGAAGGATCCAAAAATGAGCTTCATATGTCCAATCATAAAATGTTCACATCACTACTAATATAACCATTTTTATCCTTTTGGAGTAATGTATATGTAAATTTAGACCATATGTGACCAAAATTGAACAAATATAAATTTATAAACCAAAATTGCGACAATCACTACAAGAAAATTATCATATTTTGTACCAGTGCATATCACCACCATTAATTACTTGTGATTAACTTTTCAAATGTATGAAAAACATAAATAGTAACTTTTTAACACGAAATCAAATTATGAAAATCATACATTAGAGAGAATTAAGCATGATGAAATTTGACTAATTATATAACCACACCACCAATAACCAAAGCAACAATTACTGCCCCAAGCAATGCAATTTTCCTCTTATACTTATGTCCTGTGACCACAGCCAGGGGATTATCAATATTGTGTTTTCTAATCCCATTCATATGTGTCAAGTCTTCTTGTTTGGGGCTATGATCATACTTATGGAATGAGCCAATCCTGTTATCCTGTCCCTTGGGGCCATTATCCTGTTTGGGAATCGTGATAGCGTGTCCGGTTACTTGCCCCCCTTGTTTCTTAGGGATAGTGATGCAATATATTTGATTGTCTTCGAGCAATCCACTTGTCTCGTCAAGGTCCCCGTTGTTTGGTACCTCAAATGTCTCCTCGAAACTTATGTACTTGTGTTCGCTCACTTGTTTGTCTCCACGTACGACCAAATGGTCGTATTTGTCTACGTGTATCTTGATATCTTTCGTCTCGAATCCTATTATGGTACAACATGGATTAATTAGACATGAAAAGTGAAACATATACGAGGCTATTTGTTTGTGCGGATCGGAACACAAATGGAGCAAAATGAACGATATTACTCGGGTTGTCGGTCAAAATCGAACACAACCGACCGAAAATTCGGTTTATCCATTATAAGAACCGAAAACTGAACCAAAGTTTATGGTTCGGTTTGGTTTTTAACCGAAAATCCAGCGGTCGGTTCTGTTCGGTTATCGGTTAATCGGGCATAATTTCATAATTGATCTTATAATTTGGCCGCAGTCCAAAAAACCACCCCTATATTGACCACTTTCAATTTAGGTCCTATAATTTGTCGATTTCATCATTTTTGGTCATTTTTTTATCCTAACATGGGATAAAAATCTAACGTGGCGTGATTCTGGATTACGTGGCAGGATTAAAAAATGTTGACTCAAATCAAACTATCCACATCTACATTCAAGATTAGGTGAAAATAAAAAGAGTGAAAAATTAAAACCAAAAAAAAAAAATATTAAAACCAAATAAATAAAAATAAAAAAATGAGCGGTGAAGAGGGAGCAAGGCTCGTCGGAGGTCGGTCGCGGAGTAAAGATCGTGCTCGCTGGAGGTTGGGTCGATGAACTTCCACTGTGAGGGAGCAAGGCTCGTCGGAGGTCGGTCGCGGAGTAAAGCTCGCGCTCGCCGGAGGTCGGGTTGGTGAACTTCCACTGTGAACGGTGGACGTCGGTCGGCCACCTCCAATTGAATTTTTTTTGTATCATATTGAAGCTATTCTCGTCCTCGTTCACCTCCTACAATTTCCGGCGAAAATTCTACATGTAAAGCTGTCAATTGCTCTAGTCAAATTTTTAGATCCATAAAATTTCGGTCAAAATCCTCAATTTTCCGGCGATTCAAGGCAACCCACCGAAATCCGAAGATACCTCTGGATTCCTTATACCGTCCTGCACCCAAAGGCGTCCACTATCTCCAGAACTGATAATTGTTTGAGCAACCCGTTTTTCCGGCGGGTATCGAAAAGAACAAACCGGAACTCTTGAAGGTGCTGGCCTTGATCGCAGGCGAGGGGGCCGATGGAGGCGATGCTGCTGGTTGAAGGCAGAACGTGGGTTTATTGGCCGAGAATGGTGCTTGAGCGGCGGCAAAACGATGGTCGACTGAAGAGAACATGTCAATGACGATTGATGACGGTAAATTGCAGGAAGTTGCTTCGTTGTTTAACTTTTGTTTTTTATTCTTTTATTAAGTGTTGTGGTTTCCACTTTCCACGTCTACTTATTTTGTTTTTGTTTTTTTTTTTAATTTTAATTTTTTAGTTTTAATTTTGTGGTCCACATGGAATAATAAGATTATTAAATGAAAGTGAAGTCGACAGATCAAAAAATACCACGTCAAATTTTTATCCCGAGTTCGGATAAAAAATGACTAAAAATAATAAAATCGACAAATTATAAAACCTAAATTGAAAGTGGTCAATATAGGGGTGGTTTTTTGGACCGCAGCCAAGTTATAGGACCAATTTTGAAATTATGTCCGGTTAATCGCAATAAATAATTAATATTCTCTATAAATTATGAATTTTTAACATAACCAAAAAGTTTTTTTTTTATCCGAGCCAAAAAAAATTGATTTTTTATCACCTTATTTAATTTTCTTAATAAATTTCAAATTCTCCTTTAAGGAAGATTTCAGACCTGAACCAGGTCTTGGACTATGATGAAGCCAATCATGAATGCAAATTAACGTTCAATCCATTTTAGGGGTCATGAAGCTCGAAACTGATCAGTCATTAAAGCAAATTAATGCTTTTATAACTTATATGTATAAATAAAAAATTTATGTATTCAGTTCTGTCTGGTTAAACCTATCACTAATATTATTCAAATCGAACCGAAAATCGAAATTTTAAAAAAATATAAATCGAAAACCGAACTAAATATTCGCTTTTGATTTCAGTCCAAACCAAATTTTTGGTTTCGGTCGGTTAACTGAGAATATTTGGTTTTGGTCGGTTCAACTCGGTAACCAAATTATATGCACCCCTAGATATTACTGACAAAAACACAAGCAAATTAATTTGATGTATCTCATTAACTTTAATACTTAGATACATTTATACCCGGAAGAGTTAAGGAAGGTGATAAAATGCCGAATCCTCCTTCCATCCATGAGGCGGCGTAATCTGTCTAAACACCACGCTCGAGTTTTTCCGATCCCGAGCTCTGGTTCTTGTTGCCATCGATCAATTATACACACGCGTACACGCTTTTACATTTACAAAACACAAGTTCAAAAAAATGAAAATAGTTTGTGATAAAAGTTCTGTTTATAACTTATTGGCCTTAGGATATATTATGAGTAAGGTACTTATAGTTGGAATAAAAGTTTGCTAGACAATGTTTGTTCGAAAGAACATCGAATTTGTTCTTTTCTTTGCTATGTTGTATTGTATTACTTGCTTTACGCTTGTTATAAAAGTACCTTTCTATCTATCATATTCCTTTCTTCAAGCATTTAAATATTTCTAATTCTCTCTCAGTTTTGGGTTCTTATTATCAAATTGATTTCAGTCTTTTTTTTTTTTCTGTTTTTTTTCTTGTACCTTTTTGGAACTTTGAATTCAATTTCGGAGAGTCTGCCCGTTTAGATTGGTCTGATATAAAGATCCATGTGCATTAACAGTTCTTTGGTAAATCATATATCTACTGTGTGAGTAATCTTCTAATTAGAGCTGCTTGAGAAGTGTCTGCATTTGCCAACAATTCAGACAACCTTTCGCTTAGGTCATCAACTTCTCTGTGTAAGCTTCTAATATAATTGCAAGTCTCTTGTAGCACATTAGCTGCTGATCTCTGCACCCAAAAAAACAATCTAAAATAGTAAATGTATTAAACTAAATTTCGTAATGCAATTTGACCCTTATTATTTTATTTACAACTTGTTAATTAACAATAAGCCTTTTGATTTGCTACTTTAATTTTAAAGAAAGGTAATTAACCCGTTAACTGATCATAAAATAATTGGCACGATTATTGAGATTTCACAATTAGAATGAGAAAATGTGAAATTAAATTAAGGCCAACTTTTTTCTGTTGGACATAATACTTTTAGCTTATCGATTTTAGTACTTTAATATTGCTATTAATTAACCAAAATAACACTGTTAGTTAGGCTTATAATGTTTTCAATCTTGTTAAAGTACTATTATTGTTGAGTTCTCTATGAACATACATTGAATATTTTGTTTTGTAGAGATTTTTTTTTTATTGGATATATATTGATTAGATACACACACGAGGGGGTGGGGTGGTAACTTCTAAGACGACTACTTTTGATGTATTCATAATTATAATAAACATTCAAAGGAATCTTTAATTTTTAAATTAGGGTTACATAATTTCAAGATTATCTTCAAGACCCAGAAACCTTCAATGCATTGGCGGTTGCGGTCATTTCCAAAACAAATATTAATTATTTGGCTTTGTCATTTCTTGTTAAAACACAAATTTTATTTGTGAGAAAAAGTATCAATTAGATAGATCGACTTATCGTACTTTCTGAACAAAGATGCATGCTAATACTGTGAAATGTTATATTGCTTTGGTCGTTTTCTAAACTATGACACAATGTAGGCATATATTTGCTGAAAAAAGTATAACTGTTAAACCAACTTAGCAATAGCCTTAAAAGAAAATGTTCACACGATTTCTTTTCTAAATGTGTGTCTTAAAAAAAATGAGAAATCTTTATACGCCTTATATTTCAAAATGGAGGGAGTATTTGTTTATTGTCACTAGCGAGATTCAAGCAAAAGTTGTGTATGAGAAATCTCACTCGTGCGTCTTTGGAATTTTAGTGAAATATGAAAAAGTTGCTAAACTTTCTTGGATAATACTAATAATATTGCAACAAAAAATGTTACCTTGTCCGAGC